TCATCTGAGAGGTAAAGTGTTGTTCATTTCACATGAATAATGAAAACTCAAGTTTCTGTTTAATTGACATTTTTTCCACATTATTATAGTCCTCAGCCTGCTCCTGGTAACTTTTAGRCTGCTAAATTATTTACTATCTGTAATGCTGTCAGACTAGAACGCAGGGATAGTACTGTATATAATATTGGTTTTTATAGCAATACAGCCAATAACCACTCTTGCACTATCTTATCCACATAGGGGCAAGTGTACATTATTTATTAGCTATTGTTCAGGCAAGTTTTTGAATTTTTGTTCGCCTCATCGTCTACAAGCTTTAGCATTCATATTAGAATTTTTTTACCACTAAAACACATCTCAGCTGTAAAGCCTTTAGTTTGATTTGATTTGATTTATTGATTCAACAGGAAAAGATTACTAAAAATCAAGCCTGATTCAGCATAATTGCTGTTTTACAGCAGGTTCCTGTTCTGCAGCACATAAAACACTCAGAAATACAGCACCACAATCACATCATTATACACCATAGACACAAAGACAAACAAGAATTCCATACATACATTATAACTCAACTAATTTTCTACATTTCATGTGCATGAGATGATGAAATGACATCATTTTTTGACTTTGGATGGCAAAAGATGATGGCAAATTTTAAAAGCAGAAATACATTTTCCTGAAGATGCATAACAATGGATGATGTTCATGGATGGTCAGAAGCTGTACTGTCCAGAACAACTTCAGTTAAGATGAACAAAATCAGAATAGATATCAATCTCCATCTTAGAAAAAAAATAGTATCCCACTCCCAAAAAACTGAAGTAAAAGCAACTAATTTGATGGTGCAGTCCTATTCTAAGAAGGCAGATTTAACATTTTCTCAAAAAGGCAGATGGTGATTCTATCCCAGCTGTCACTGGGTTATAGGTGAATCCACCCTGGACAGATTGTCCGTCTTTCTCAGGGTCAACTAAATAAATAAATAAATAAATAAATAAATAAATAAATAAATAAATAAATAAATAAATAAATAAGCATGCTCACAAATACGTCTGAGGTCGAATTAGAATCACCCATCATGCTAACATACTGTACATGTTTTTGGACTGTGGGTGAAAGACCAGAAGAAAACCTGTGCATGAATGTTTAAATAAATGATAAATAAAACTAATATAATGGAAGGATCACTTGTTTTGAGGTGACAACACTTACACACGTAGCCCACATGAACAACCTGCCATTCTCTATTTAGAAAGATTGAGATTTTTAATTTCAGAGCCAAACAAGGCTGAAATCGTATGCTGAATGAAGAAAAGAAAAACTGTTAGTTAGGAAGCAAAAGGTGAAGGTTTTAGTCCCGATAAGCCGCAAGGACAACTAATTCTGCAAACAATTTGTAAACGATTTGTGTTTAATTGTCAAATTTTGAAAGGAAAACATGTTAGGCTGTTAATGTCGAACTGTGGGATATTGTGTTTCCTAATTAGAAATGGTACAGGTGAACTCTATCAAAATAATTTTGAAAACATACTGAAATGTGTCTCTTGGATAAAATACCTGTACAGATTGAACTAAACCAGCTGTCTTTTGTTCGTTTGTCCAAAGAGAAGCAGGTCACATTTGCAACACCTTCTTGGAAACGAAGATGTAGGCTGTCAGCATAGTTTGTGCCGGCTGTCTGACAGAGAGGCTAAGACTTCACCTTACAAGGTGACATGTACGTAACTACATCTCTGGTGCAGGTATAACAGTGCAAGGAACGGCACTACTGAGAAAAGTAAGGGAGAAGAGCTAGAGAAACTAGGACGTGGAGTATTTATTCTAAACTTCCTGGAAACTTGACTTTTGTGTGGTCCTTTTCTTGATAGCTATTATGTGACATGTTGTATTGTGTGTCTCAAAGACCTAAATGTCTCAGAGGTCTTGAGCTTCATACTTAAAGAGGGTGATTTTTTTAAAGATTTATTAGATCCTTTATCCATTTATGTCCTACTGTAGCCATTCATTTCAGTATAAGGTAAAAAGTCTAGTGTACAGTGAATTATACAGAGCTAGGTCAATGCAGTTTGAGGTTCTGTGGATAAAAAGTTGCAAATGTTGAGCCCTAGTCCTGTCCTGACCTAAACTGAACTGAAGAGATCTGCGCTGTAAGAACCCACAAACTTTTTCTCCTCTGATTTCTAGGTTACAAACCAAACAGCTCAATGACATCTATTCCTGGAAAGTAGGCAGTAGCTTGATAACTTATCTAGTTCCTAAATGATTCATACCAGTCACCTGCTGGCTGCCTGAGGGAAACGCTATCTATCTGAGACAGAATCACCTACAAGGAAATCTATGTGCAAATGCATTCTAAGTATGTAACACAATTTACCAGGTTAACAATTAAGGTAAAATGTAACAATCGGTCACACCAATAGTCAGTTATGTTTTGGTGTTTTTAGTAAATTTTGACTTGTTTTGACTTTTTGTCTTTAGAAATTTGTTAAAGCTGTTTGGTTTATTTGTCTGCTGGCAGAATAACTGAAAATGTCAGACAGGAAGTGAAAAGTGTTTGATGTCTATTCAAATACATGTTTATATCAACATTTTTTTATTTGCTCCCTTAGTGTGTTTTCTTTAACAGCTCATGTTTATGTCTATGATTGGAAAGCATTTCCAAACGTATTTGTTTTACTCTGCATGGAATTAAAAAGATCAGTCAATATAACTGTTTCTTATCATTAGACTACAAGTTTACAGGGTGTTTCTGTCATAGCAGAAGATATTTCATCCATTCATACATCCACCCATCCATTTATCCATTTTCTACTGCTGACACGTTGGATGGGTCGAGGGGTCAACAAGTCCTAGAGGGAAACCCAGACATTCCTCTCCTCAGGTACATGATCCAACTACTCCTGGGGTCATCCCAAGGTGCTCCCAGGACTGAGAGGATATATATGAACATGTTCTCACTCCCGACTTGTCAACATATTGATGCTTGGTCAGGGACCATCTGCGTCCAGTTTTGGCGTGGCGGGTACCCCCCGTGTGGCAGTCCCTGCCGCCCGTGGCTTTTCCGGGTTGCGACACTTAGGGGTTTTTGGGTTGGGGGTTTGAGGTTAATATGAGGGATCAGAATTAATGTTTAATTTTAGGTACTGGGGTCAGGGATAGGCTGCATATGGCTAATATAGGTTAAATTTAGGGTCTGGGATGGTTAGTTCTCGCGCATTTTCTATATTTTCCAAAATGGCTAATACTGTATAAGGGATCAGGGATAATGGCTAATTTTAGGTACTAGGGTCAGGGATAGGCTGTATAAGGCTAATAGAAGTTAAATTTTGGGTCTGGGATAGTTAGTTTTGCGCATTTCCTACTCTTCAAAAACATATGAAAATGCGCTTGTCCTCCTCCGCCTCATCTTGTAAAAAACTGAAGCGCCGGGGGTACCCGACGCGTCAAAACTGGACGCAAAAGGCTACCTGACCAAGGGTCAATATGTTGACGAGTTGGGAGTGAGAATGTGTTGTATATACAGTACTGTATATGAAGGGATTGTGTCTCTACAAACTTTCCAGTGAGTCCTGGGTCTGTCAGTGGAACATGCCTAGCAAAGCTCCCAAAGTATGCATCTAGGAGGCGTCCTAATCAGATGCCTCAACTGACTTTTTTTGATGCGGAGGAGCAGCAGCTCAAATCTTAGCTCTCCCTGGATGACTGAGATCCTGACCCTGTCCTTAAAGTTGAGCTTTGCCACCCTATGAAAGAAGTCAATTTTAGCAGCTTGTATCTAGGATCCTGTTCTGTGGGCCATGATCTATACCTTATGACCATGTGTGAGGGCTGGAACCTAGACGGACAATTAAACTGAAAGTTTTGCCTTTCGACTCAACTTCAACATGACAGATTGAAGCAACACTCCTCATTACTGAGGACAACGTCTCAAATCATCAAACCGTCTCCCATTCCATCATTTGTGCACAAGGCTTCCAAATACTTGAACTCGTCCACCTGAAGTAGAGACTCATCCAAAACCCGGAGGGAGCGTTCCACCTTTTTCCACTTGAGAAGTACAGCCTCGGACTTAGAGGGACAGACTCTTATCCCAGCTGCTTCACACTTGGTTGCAAACCGCCTCAGTGCACGCTGAAGGTCATAGCCTGAATGTGCCAAGAAAACCACATCATCTGCATGTAGCCGAGACGAGATCCTGGGGTTCCCCGACACCCTCCTTGTCTTGAATCCATGAATACCACAAACAGGATCAGAGACAAGGGGACGTCCTGGTGAAGTCCAGCTGAGGAAGATAACTCTATGAAAACTGATCAATAATACCAAAGGTAATGGGAATGGATCATTATGGAAAACACTGTGGGGCTTCTAAGGATGACAGAATAATGTTCTTATAACAGTATCTACGCAGATACACAGATATCCAAATGTGCATTCAAAGTGAAACTATGGCAGCTATACGGTGTGGAAAAAAAACAGAACTGTTATAATTAAAATAAAGAAAAGAAAAAATGAATATTTTTGGTATTTTATGCCACTCATGTCAAGGCCACATTCGCAAATGCCACAGCACATCCCACATGGACAACACATCTACCGTAATAAATCTGCAGCTGATTGGCTGACAAGGAAAATGACAAGGTAGAGGGAGCAGAGTGTTTCTGTGGGTGGGAGGGAGTATGCTTGTGTAAGGATGGGGGAAGGAGGTAAGCTAAACTGTCCAGGAAAAGATTTTTGCACACTAAACTGATTTACAACCAGGGTAGAAAGAATACTCATTTACCTCCTTACACGGGATACCCCTCCCCAGGGTGTTATTCTGATGCAGTGCTTACGCATTCAGTAGGTGCTCTACACTGCTCAGGCTGTCGATCAGTGATTTTAATAAAAAGTATAAGTGTACCAAGTTATTTGTAATCCATATACTGTATATGCTTTTTTAAACATAAGCATTCATTTCCAAACACATTCATGCATAATTACAGACAAGAATGGGGACTCACCTTCAGTAGGTGATGTTTTCAATCTTTTGCACAGTCCCTCTACTCCTCCATAGTCCTCTTGGAGCTTGGCCACCGCCTCTGTGCTACGCAGCTCCATCAACGAACGCAGCTCCATGAGCGAGCAGCCGAAGCCCGCTGCATGGTTGCCCTCGTTTCTTTGGTTCTTGGCATAAAAATCGCTATTCGACATGTCCCCCATGATGTCAGCTAATCAAGTCAGTTATGTTAGTGTTTGTTATTGCTTAAAGAACAAAAACAATTGCACAACAGAGCTTGGGCTCATCGAAAAGAAAAAGACATCCAAAATTGGTTTGAAGCAAGCAACACTGACCCAAAAAAAGGGAGAAAAATACCTCTTGTGGGTTAATGAAGGCGGTTAAAAAGAACAAAAAAGGTGAGGAAATATCCAAAGGGGGGTAAATGGATGAGCAGCCTTCGTTTCAGGAAAAAAAATGATTTCAACAGACCAAAAACCATCCAAAAGAAGAAACAGAAGCGGAGGAAGGAGAGTGACGGAGCAGGGGGAGAAAACTGGGTGACAAATCACAAGTGGGGAGCATCCAGGTAAGCACTGGACAGCCCCAGTGGTTAGGTCCTGAGAAGGGCAAAAATGGTGGTTTCAAGTCCTGTAGGTCTCAGGCTCACCACGGCTGCAGTCCAGACCCACTCCATGTGTGGCTTCCCATTGCTGCTATTCTGCTCGTGCCTCCGTTGCCTCTTCGCCTCTACATGGTGGTCCTCCCCATCACCGCTACAGAGAAAGAGAAAGAGAGAGGAGGAACAAATTCAATAGATGAATTCGGAGAAGTGAGTGAGGAGCAGTCAGAAAACCTGAGAGCACAGGAATGAGCGCTGTGTTCTCAGGACAGGGGTGAATGCAGCAGTAGATGGTGCACAGCGGAAGGACAGCCTCTCCTGGCTGCTGCAGTAACTGTGCCTCTGCTGTCTCTATCTACTGCTGCTGGTGCTACTGGTGCTGCTAACCTCATTCTGAGTACACGCTAACTGGCAGAGAGCGAGCGGGGACATGAAAGAAAAGGAGGGATGAKACTGCTTCTTTCTGGTGCAGAGGAGAGGAGTTGTGCGCGAGTGGGAGGCTGGGGCTGCTCTTACGACAGAGCAGAGATGCAGAGCGTAACGCTGCGCTGTCACTGGGAGGATGGGCTGAGCTGTAAACCCAGCACTGCTATCTCACCAGTAAGAAAGCTGCTGCTGCAGTCTGCACTATATGACCTCTTCTGTGCAGTCATCCTATCTCAGTGACACATTCACATCCATTTAATGACTTGTAATCCTCTCCACAAATTAATTTACTTCAGATTTCATAAACTTAGTCTTTTACATTTATAAATTTATCAAAAAAAAAAAGATGGTAGATGGCATTCCACTGAACAAAGACCTATTAAAGTCTGCAATCAATACATCAAATAAAAACATTTCCTTGCTTGAGGATCCAAAGAAAAATCAAGCTAATTCCTAAAATTATAACACTTTATAAGCAAACTTTGAAAAATAACCAAGGTGTTAACTTGACATCTCATATTCTGGTGAGTCTCTTTTAAACAGCAAGGCTAAAAGAAAACATCTGACTCATGGCTCATGTTGTAATAATTAAATAACCAAATGCCATGATGCACACTGTTATACCCCACCTCTCGCACAGATAGGAACTAGGGCTGGGCAATAATTCAGCAACAATATATATTGTGAGACACATGGTCAAYATTAATAGAATTTTTTTTCCAATAGAATGTTGATAATTTCACTGAACTCCAATGCAGAACTGCACAGCATTCTGGGGGATGCAGACAGAGGACAGGCTTTAGCCGCTCAATCTCTCACGGCCCATAAACAAGGTTGGTGGCATCAAATAACTCACTGTTTCGGTAAGCTAGCAACAACCTGTTGAGTAACGTCCATTAGCGGCTTCGTGTTTCGCCACAGTGCCTCATAACGGCTTAAAAAGGAAAAGAACAATGTGGAGTGAAAGGAGAAAATAACTGCAACAGCTGCAGAGGTAATTGTGGATAAAAGAGGAAAGGTCAAGTCACGAGTCAGCAGTATTAATATTTCTACTGGTCCTTATTTTGAATAGACAACACTAAACAAATCTAAATAAATGATTATCAATATTGACTGGTATGAAACACTTATAACGTGATTCATTTTTAAGCCATATCACTAAGACCTAAAAGAAACCAATTTCCAGCAAYCCAGAAAGGAGAGGTGGGTAACAAAAATGGATGGATAGAAAGATGGCATTAAAACTACAATCTGACTCAAATAATTTCCATAATGTGCCATCCAGTGGCATCACTAGGCCTATTTTAGGGGGGCTGGAGCCCCCCTAAATTATTTTGGTGTAAAAAAATATTTAATTTATTTTTTTACAAAAATTCAATATGATGTGGTCAGAATAAATAACTATTTAATATTTCATTATTAACTAAAATATATGATCATAAATCTGTCAGTTTCCCTTTAATTTATAGTGTAAGGTAACAAATATATAATATATAATATACAAAAATGCTGTGCGTCGCCTGGGGGCTAAGCCCCCCTTGTCCTTAAAACCTAGTGACACCCCTGGTGCCATCACTTTTAATCAGTGACATCAGTGAATCAGCTTGTGCCAAACTAATCAAGTCCTTACTTGATAGTTCAAAGGTTCATTATTAATATCATCCAAAGTAAACCTTTGCCTCACAGTTGCCCTTTATTACAGCCCACCCACACAGAGGGGAACCTGGAATCAAAGCACCTAGATTTGTATTATCCTGCAGAGACTGTCGTGTCTTTCCATCATACGTAAATCATTCCTCCGTGAGGCTGCCACACGACCAAACATTTGGCATATTTCAGTAAGAAATCAAACATAAATAGTAAAGTGGGCTGCATTGGTGCCAGGAACATAAAATAGAGCTCAGTATTACTGCGATGTCATTCTTTGTACGATCTGCTGACAACACAGCCTGAATAAAGGCATATGTCAACTGCTGTCAGCAGAAATCTAAACATCAGCATAACTAACACATTTGACAAAGCCTAACAGTAAATCCACTGTRAATTAATCACATTTTACATTTCATCATCTTGTTAAAAATATTAAGTGAAATTATAAATTCAAAAGGTTGAAATTAAAAGTAGTCTTAAAATGACTTGATGCATGGGTCGGTGAAAAACCAGCCTGGTCTCAGTCTGACTCTGCTCMAAATCCTGTGATATTTTACTGCACTCTACAACATGAGGAAAATAAATAGAGCAGATAACTTCTTAAAGAACCAATAATATATCTCACAAGAGCAATGGACAGTTGCTGCACAGGATATTTGCTAAGTAGCAGTAAAAGTAGTACAG